ATTTCTTGCATAGGCGGCAGAGGAACAGTAAGTAGGGTCACAGAAAGAGGTGAAAACCTGACGGAAAATGAAATTCTTCCTCTATGAATTGAAAATAAAAATATTTGCCTGGGGTTAGGCTTTTAGTGTGATAATCTCCTGCACCAAGCACTTTTGTTCCTACCTTGCTTTCTGTAATGTCTGTGAATATTTTATGACTACACAAGTTAGGCAATAAAACCATGCTGGGATTCCAAGCTGTGAACTGAAGCCGACATTTTCTTCAGCTTTCTCATATCAGGACTTTAGGTGGACTTTTCCCATTATTATTTAGTTTGCTGTTGTGAGACATCATATATAGCACTTCATAAACTGACTGCATACCTAATATGGAACAATGTGATTCCCTCCCTGCCATTTGTAATACTCCTAGAACTGTCGTCTTAGGGAAAAGTGTTCCCCACAACCACCTTTCAGATGGTTCGGTAATTTCCTTACTTAGGCTTTAAAGGATATTTAAACCCTCCAGTTTTTTTTTTTTGCATATATCTACTGCTAGCAAGCGGCAGATATATGCAAAAACATTTTTTTTAAAAGTTAAAAGGCTTAAAATTTACCTGCGTCTCCGCCGCGCACTCCCGTCCGAACATCTGAAGATCCTCGGGCGGCTGCAAAGAATCCTGGGGCAGGCGCATGCGCAGTACAGATCTTCGACGGAGAGACGCAAGGTAAGTGAATGCAGGCAGCATGCATCCGCACAGACTCCGTGGGACATGGAGTGCCAGGAAGACAGGAGTCAGCGCTGGATCGGAGACCGGTACCAGCACTGGAGGAACTCCTGAAAACTACAGGAAAGAAGAAGATTATCAGAGAAGGAGGCATCATTTGAGGTAAGTCCTTACATTAGAATTGAGGGGGTGGAAAAAAAGTTTTGCCTGTAATGTCACTTTAAGGCTGCCGTGACAGATTATCTGCAAAATAGAGAGCTGATTTGATATAAGTTCTCATCAGTATTTCAGGTCATGTCATCAGCCAAGCAAAATATGTAGAAGGCATTTAATATGTGAAAATGGGTAAATATGAGACGGCCGCCTGTCCATGTATCCTGTGTAAGTAAAAATGAGACCATGTCAGTGCAGTGTTCTGTATAGGCAGATATTATATAGACACTTCAGCACTAACTACTGTATTCTGCTTTGCAGTTTTACTTATATGTGTATTTTGTCTACACAGAGAAATTGAGAAGGAGTCTTCCAAATCTCTCCAGGGCGACAGGCGTTCAGACCATGGAGACTGTAAAAAACAGCAGAAGTTGTGAGTCAAATCTGCAGGTGCCAAATGGAGGATCCTCCCGAGCACTGAACACATCCAGTGAGTGAACATGTATCCCTTCACACTGCTTGCTTAGTATTTAATGAGGCATTCTATTAAAACAGCAGCTTGTGAAAATGTTTAATGAGTGCTCAAATGATAAAGGAGATTTGGGGTTAGTACCATTTTGTCCCCACTGACTTCACAATCTAAAATCTCATAAGGCAGAAGTTTAGAACAGCAAACCCAGGACATGTAGATGAACTATGCTAACACCTGTCAACTTCTAATATTGTAGACATCAGGAGAAATGGCAGTAGTGGTGTGTACTTCAAGGAGTAGTCCCTTTAAACAGGAGACCATATAGTGATATGTTTGGCTGTCTTATCGTTTATTAAAATGTTTCAGACGGTGCAAAGTTTTATTACTGCTATAGACAGTTCCTTGCAAAAGCGGAAACAAATTTCACATCTTCTCGGTTATTTGGGGTTTTTTTTTTTTTTTTAAAGCTTTGGTCTTATTTTCAGACTTTGTACCATGAGCAGGACAAAATATTATAACCTGCTGCAAAATGTCAATTCTTACAGGTGTTACATCTCTAAATAAGCCTTGGCAGAGCAAAGGTTTACAAGCGTTGACTCTGATTTTCTATTATTTACAAGTTGGCTGTAGAAGATGGACTCCTTTTATGTTGCTACACAGATGGGTCTTCAGCAGGGGTCACTTTTTATGTAAGCTACAGAGTAGTTGTTGATCTACCTTTATGTACCCCACGGTGAATAAGATCTCGCCATGAATAAAAGTATTATTTATTTTATCTTTGACTCTTCTGAAAGTAATGCGTCTAAGCAGTATTTTTTTTAGCTTTGGATAATGGGAAAGAATTAGAACCTTGGTCAGGTTTTTACATCTATGGGAAAATAGAGGAAAAGCAAAAAAAACACCGGTGCCAGCACCCGCAACTTGTATGCACACAAACTAGTAACACTAGTGATGCAGCTCCCACTGGTCAGGCAACCGACAAACTGAAAAACATAAAGCAAAAAGGAGCGCCTCCATAGTGTAAAACAGTATTTAATAAAAAGAAGGCACACAGCTAGCGCTGTACTTACAAACAAGTGTAGAACACAGGCATGTAACAAGGATGAGTATCGTAGGTTGCCTCTGAAACATGTAAACCCGTGGAATACTTGTAAACCAGACTCTTCTGCCCCCATCAATACTCCAGCTCGTCTTTGTTCGTGATTTAGTTTACTCATCCTTGTTACATGCCTGTGTTCTACAGTTGTTTCTAAGTACAGCCCTAGCTGTGTGCCTTCTTTTTATTAAATACTCTTTTACACTATGGAGGCGCTCCTTTTTGCTTTGTTTTCCAGGTTTTTACATCTGTTTGGTGGCTCCGTTCAAGAGATGTTTCCCTCATTCACTGTCCTAGTGACAACAGTTGTACTAGACTGGAAGGGAGGGAAAATCTTTAACAAGGACACTTTCCCTGCTTTGCTTAAAAAAATGCATCTTTGTGCTCTTTATTTATCTGTGCAGCTATTGCAGATTTTTCCCTACTTTCGATCTGATGAAACTGTTGTCACCAGGAGAGTAAATGAGGGAAAATCTTCATAACAGAGCCCCAGATAACAGTTCAAACCTAATAGCTTTAGTCCTGTTCTATTTTATCTATGAAATTTTGGCCAGACATATTTATATTTAACCCCTTCATGACTGAGCTAGTTTTCAGGTTCTGTTCATAAATGACTGACACATTTTTTACATTTTTGCTGTGTGATTCTTCCACAGCAGTAATATACTTTCTTACTAAATGTACCCACACATATTATATATTGTTTTTTAGAGGACAGATAGGGCTATATAATTATATCACATATGTGTACCTAACCCCTCACTTAGTTTGAATAAAATAAAAAAAATGAGGAAAAAAACTAGAAGAAAACACTTTTTTCACAAGTTTTGATTATTATTATTTTTTTTTAGAATTTTTTTATATTAATTATAGTATAAAAAATATATTTATATATAATTTATATTTTCCTAATTTTGTTTTACACTTTATTTTAATTTTTTTACACTTTGTAAAAAAAATAAATTAAAAAAAACAACTTTTTTTTTTTCCTTGTCAGTTTATATCAACCAATCACTGTGACAGCTTGATAAATTAACTTTTTTATTTTATTTTTGGCTATTAGGCTGATCCAAACTTAGGAACAGCTAATAATAACCTTAGAGACTGATCCTGACTTTAGTCAGATTCAGATCTCACTAAAAGCTCTTTGATCGTGCCTAGACGATCAGAAATGATACATTTCACTCAAAAGATATACATTGTATCCTTTCAGTGAAATGTATCTAAACATCGGGCTCTCGAGCTGTCAAAACAAATAGCAGAGAGGTGAGTCACTGCTACCTCTCTGCTATTTTCAGCTGTCAAATACAGGATCGCAAATTGCGGTCCTGTATTTGCATGTAACGGCTTCATTCTTTCATTACTGAAAGGAAGAAGCTTTTACAAAAAGCTTAATTATTTCATTAATTAATGCCTCAATACTGAGACATTAATGAATGACTGTTAAATGCTGAGAATCAGCAAATACCGGCATTACAAAGCCTGATATAACTCGTCACGTACAGTGTACGTGGCCAGTCATATAGGCACAAAGTGACAAGACGTACACTGTACGTCTCCCGTCACGAAGGGGTTAAACCTGTGGTGAACCTAAGCAATTCAACTTAATCGTATATCCAAGTTTTGAGCTTGGCCCTGAGCCTGTATGAGTATCCATATTGCTCAGGGAGGCCATCCATTGTAGAAAAGAATCAATGCGCAGTCTCGGTAGAGGATGAGACTGAACTAAGAATTCCTGAAGAGTTGCATATAACTTCATGCAGCCATATCACTGGATGCATTGATCAATCTTGCATGCAGTTTTCACTGAAAGTAACCTGGAATTTCCCTTGTGTGTCACAAGTGTACTTGAAATTATTTTGTTGATACACTATTTCTATTGTGATCAGTGTCTTTATTATCCAGATAGAAATAAAAGTTAAATACATTTGTGTAAATACATTTTATGGTATTTCTGAAGTTGAATTTTAATTGTGCATGTGAAGATGCATGGAATGGTAGACTTTGGATTAAGGTGTGTTCTTCTGCGGTGTGCATGTGTCCTTCCAAGCTGCTGTGGTGCATGCGCACAGTTATGTGGTCTGCTTCTCTCTGTACATCTCACTGATATTTGAACTTAGAAGGGCTGCGGTGTAGTTAATCTTGTGCTGCTTATACTTGGTTTGAATTAGTTAGTTGATTTTTAGTTTACCTTTTTAAAGTGGTATTCAGTCCTAATTTTGACAGCTGTATAGTGCCATAAATGGTTTCATAGTGTTTCCTGTCTTGCATTACAATGTATTTGTGTACATCAGAATGAATAGACGCAGTGAATGCCAGAATTTTATATTTAGGCTTGTTAGTACAACCTAACATTAGAAAGTCACTTTTTCTTGAGATGATCTAGGTGAGAGTCATGCAATTGTACAAGATCTAGTCTAGAAGGAGTCTTCCACTGGAAATAAAAATTGTTTACTCTGGTTTGCTTTTCCATTTGTAGTATGACCTGTGCCCTCACTGCCGATCAGTCACCTTTCTCCTGCACACGTGCGGCGTGAGTCCTGGTATTTCAGTTCACACATAAATATGAAATGGCACTCCTATGAGCTCTATGATTTACACTTCCATAGATCTCATTCTTTAAATTAATTAAATACACGTCCATAAATCTGTAGAGCTTCTGGCCTTCATTATTTGCCCACTCAGTGGCTGGAAGGCAGCTTACCCTTATATTCCCCTGGCCAGATCAGGAATATGCAATTGCCCGATGTTGGGATAATCTAAGGCGAGAGCAAAAATCCCAAGTATTGGATACAGGGAAGAACAGGAATCCCCTTTAGAGTTACTTGGCAGGGAAACCTGCAGATTTTAGTTCTCAAGAGGAGGCAGATAAGGCTTAAATCTTGATATGATATTGGTGGTCAGTTAAAAACAAGTGAAAGGCCATGACTTACTTTGGGAGGATGCCAGAAACCACAAGGGATCTGCAACTTGCGATGAAGAGCTGGTGGACAACATATGTCTCTCCACGCAGACCCTTTTGGTTGCGGTTTGTGCGGCCGCTCACTGTCTGGAGGGGGGGAGGCGCGTCACAGGGCCTTTTCACTTATTGGGATTACTACACCTTAAAGGGATCTCTTCTGCTCTCCTTTCTCTCTTTCCTGCTTTTGGAGAAAATGTTAAGGTATTCTCTATTAGCTGATCAGTTTGCCGGTGCCAGATGTGAATATTTATTGACTTGAGTTATTGAAAATTAGAGGCGTTACCTAATACTACTTAATAGTGGCAAACCTTAAGGCCCCGTTCACATTGAGCGATTTATCGCGCGGTAATTCCCGCGATATCGCGCTCCAATGCAATCCAATGGGGCAAAGGGTCCTGCTGTCGCGGGTCGTGTGTCGCTACAGCAGGACCCTTTTTGGAGCGGATTTAGCCGCGATTCAAGCTTGCTCAATGCAAGCTTGAACGCGACATCGCGCGGCAAATCTCGCGATGTCGCGCAAATATGCAAATCGCGCGACAAACGCGCGATTTGCATATCGCGCAGTGGGAACGGGGCCTTCCTTTCTAAACCCACTGTGAATCATAACATTTGTTATGCATTCCCACTTTAATCCCCTAATTAACTCCACGTTCCACAATATCATTGTTTTTAAAAGACATGTAATATTTCCTTGTGTTCCAACAGCATCAAAAGGGCAGATACAAATGCCGCGTACAACCCAGAAAGCAAAACAGGTTGTTGCAGGCCCTAACGGAGGTAATGTTCAGAGAGTTCATTGCTCACAGATATGTTCAGTGTAGTTAAGAGGAAACACTTGGTCTCTGGGTATACCTGGCCGGGCTGTTCGAACTCCTGGAAGGGAAATCTGCTTTAGGACTTTTGTCAAAGGGCTTTTTGGCTTGCGACAGTGGCATCAGTTTGAGATCAATCACATTTGATTGACATGTGCATCTGACTTGTAGTGGACATTCTTGTGACCTGCGTTTAACCTGTTCCAAGCAGGTTTTGCATTCCCTTAGACTTCTATTGGAGTGCACAAACCAAGGCCCATCAATACAGGCCCTTTACCAGTTGTAGAACTTTATTTCTACATCTAACAGTCCAGAACCACTGATGTGTAGTTGCCTAACAAAATCTATCAGATTTCCTATAGTTTAAAATCTTAGTGAGAAGGGTAATACCGATTTGGCCTTCGTTTCTGTGAAAGAGCACATGCAGCCATTTTGTAATCAAATATATTTTTAAAGACCCAGTTTATATGTAGACTTTTTCTTGACCTTATATGTATTCACAGACAGGGCCTCTAGGAAAGAACAGCTTATTTGCAGAGTACACAACAGCCAGTCTCCTGGCTTATTTTTATGATTTACAGCAGCCTGTAGTAACCAATAGCATCTTCTTTTTGTCAGTTAAAACATTAAGCACCCTCAGTTTACTGGTTGGGAGGAAGCCATGTACTCTCACTGTAAAAAAAGTATTTTTCTGGTAAACAACTGTAATAATAGACATCTTGTTGAGCTTGCTCCTAAGCAGCAGATTCAAGTTTTTTAAAATAACTGATGTGTTCTCTTTTTAAAAGTTTTTTTTTTTTTTAATTTTTTTTTTTTTTTTTTTTTTTTTTTTTTGGAATGGCTGCTCCAACAAGTTACCCTCTCCATGTTGTAAATCCATTATTATTATTGGTTCATAGAATGCCAACATGCTCCTGTGTGTTGTAAAGTACAGTCAGATTTAAAAGAAAAACCTTTGGCTGTATTTAGACTTTAATAGACCGTTTGTTAAATTTCTTGTGTACTGAGGTATGTACTATTAGGTTGTTGCAGGCAGAGAAGTTATTAGTTGGTTGCTTATTAACTGAAATGGTGTATCGGCGTTGCTTCATCATATTATTACTATGGGAGTACTTACCAAATTTGCAGAATGGGCATCGGCTTACAGGTCTTTCCTAGTACTGCTTGGTGAGATCTAAGTGTTCTTTATTGCTGGGCTCTGGGTACAATCACATCCTCCAGAAAGATGTGTGTTAAGATATAGACTGAATCCTGTTAGTGCTGATCTATCCTTAGGACATTGCATGCAGTGGCCAAGTTGCATTCACTGCTGAAAGAACTGTCTTGAGTATTAACACTTTGGTCAACCAGAAAGGTTATTTCACTCAATGATGTGACCGCAACCTATGCCAGGGAGTTTTGACATCCTCAGAAGTTTCTAGACTAAAGCTGGGTACACATGGATAGATGTTTGTGATTGACTGTTGTCGAGGAGATACGAAGCTGAATGAAATAATCTGATGGATTTAAATGATCGGCTTTAGGTCGATGGAATTGGAGCTACCCACAAATCGAGTTTCAGACATTTCCTCCTGCATTAGATCCATGTGTACTCCGCTGTGATTTCTGTCCCTTACAGTGCCTTTTTCCTTCATGTTGTTGATTACCAATTTTTTTTTCAGTGCCCTTAACACACTTATGACAACATACACATGATTTGACAACTTACAACATGATTTGGTTTTGGGCATCTGTTATGAAAAATATTTAATTCAATTTACCAGAGCAGAATGTCTAGAGAATATGAATCCACAGAATTCTGCATTCTCCTAGTTTTTGCTGCTTGTTCTTTTCTAAAAGTGTTTTCATTGCTCAGAAAATGGAGCCAATGCTGACAGTCACTGTAAATTGCACTGACCTTTTTTTTTCTTTCTCTCTGGACAGTACCTTCCCCATGCAAGATCCGATCCCCTGCAGCACCCTCTCCGCTAGCGTTACGGCAGCCTATGAAGGCTTTATCTAATCATGGTTCTCAAATTGCACAAGAAACAGCCTCTGTTGCACAGAACATCCCTCCATCAGGACCACCACCTAGCCAGCACTCTGGCTCTTCAAGTCCCGTTGGACGAGGCAGCACGCCAGTGAGGAGTGGACTGCCCAGACCGAGCACACCTTCAGGAGGAAGTATACCAGTGCCTCGCAGCAAACTTGCACAGCCTGTCCGCAGGTAAATATACAAAGTCTTTTTTTCAACATCATAAGGCTGGCTGAGTAAAGCAAAGACCACCTAAAAACACTGCAAACCTTGTAAGCAGTTAGAATGCATTTTTCCCCTGATTTCAGAAAACAGAAATGTAGTTGCTAAAGGTTACTCCCCTTTAACACCTATTGCTCTTTATTTGCTTTATTAAATAAGCATTTTTTCCACAAAATTAACATTCAGATTGTATGTTCTTCACTTTGCTATGAAACAAAATGTTTTTGTGGTCGGAGTCTAAGAAACAACAGTCTAACCCTAATTACCAGCTACTTGTGATGTGCCCTGGTCGCACTGATCTGTATGCCTAAAAGGGGGCAAAAAGACACAAAATAGGGATGAGTGACATAAGAACGTTAATGATGCACTAAAAATACATCAATTGGTCAAACTGGAAAAGGCTTGAGCTATTTTGACATGCGGATCAGGTATGTAGCGGGTAAAACTAGATGAATTCCACCGACCCAAATGCTTGATGATAGGAGCAGGGACACCTTGTTTCTATGCCATTTGATGCCGTGCCACTGCCGCAATGACTTCCTAATAGGGAGAAGTTTGAAATATCCGCTTTACACAACCAGTAACCCTTACCAGCTGGAATGGCTTGGTCCACTGAAGAATATTATGATGAATGGCTTGGTCCACTGAAGAATACTTCAACGAGGGAATCAATGAATTCAAGCTTGGAAAGTGTGACGAATGAGGGGCGGACAAGTCATAAATTGGATGGAAGTCTTTTCCTTGCACCACAGCAATGGGACTAACCCTCTACATATGAAAAGGAGCAGACACAAAAGGCCCAATAAAAAAAACATTTTCTTAATTCCACATCTAACAACTTGTTCAGATTCACTGGCTGACAGCAAATTCTTACACTCAAACGTTACCTGAGGGAGGGTAATCAAACCACTGTGAAAACCTTGCGAGGAGTTCGGCCTCTGGAGCGCAAACCGGTCGGCTCAGTTCGTTGGGGGGCGGAGTGAGTGTTGCATTGAACTCAATTGCACCGCAGCCATGCCCCCCGCCCGCTGTGTGATCGCCGTCACCTGAACGCGTGGTACATTAGTGCCTGCGTTCCGGTCCAGTATGATCTGCAAAAAATGCTGCAAACACTATTTTTTGCAGATCGCAGTGGACCGGAACGCAGGCACTAATGTGCACTGCGGGCGGGTGCTGGCGATTGCACCGCCGGCGGGGAGCATGGCTGCGGTGCCATTGAGTTCAATGCACCGCCACACCACCTCCCGCCCCCAAAAAACTGAGCCGGCCATGTTGCGTTGCAGAGGCCTAACACACTGAAAAGCACTCCTGATGGTGTGACAGGGCCCTTACATGTATGGACCGTAAGTGTGGTGTGTCGGAAGATGTCTTTGTAACTACGTGCATATGCTACAAATACATGTATATCAATGCTAGAGAATAAGGTGTATTGTGCGACAATGAACTGCAGAAACGCACCATATACTGACAAAAACTACCTGCCCATGGACAGCTGCATTTCACAAGTGATATTCTAAAGGTTCGAACATAAAAAGCAAAATATTTGGTGGTGCTATATATTTGTGACCATATTTATTTAGACTTGCTGTTTTATTGTTTTTGTTATGGAAATAAAATGTATTTGTAGCCCAAACTTTTTTGTAGTTTTTGGATGGACTTGTGAATGGTTGGAACCTTTTGTCAGATTTTCTTTTTTTTTGTCCTCGTTGTCCCATTGGGGAGATTTTCCTTCACTTCCAGTGAGGCACAAAGGAAGTGAGCTGGAATCTCTCCAAAGTGAGAGCAATCCCCTTATACAGCAGCCAACTTAATTGGAAAATCTCCCCCTCATCTCCTGTTTTGGTGACATCTTGTAAACTTGATTTCCCATCATGTTGTGCTCTGATAGGTGTGAATCTCCCCAATGGGGACACATCATTACAATCTTAACAGAGGTTCTAACCTGTTTCCCCTCTATTCAAAACTTAAAAAAAAAAAGATTTCTATACAAGCACTTTAAAGGAGAACTATGGGGTTAAGGCTTTTCCCCATAGTTCTCCTTAGGGTAACGGGAGGACACAAACTAGCGTCCTCCCGTCACCCTAGGCTCAGTATACCGCGAGCTACAGGTATACTGAGACGCCGCAGTATACCGCGAGCTGCTGCGGTATGCGCTTCAGCTGAAGCGGATCCCGACAATTGTGCCGGGATCCGCCCAGCTGTGTGACTGACAGCTGGCTCTGCCTATCTAGAGGCAGAGCCAGGTGTACCCGCCCCCTCCCGATCCGACCGGTCAGCGCTGGCGGATCGGAGCGGGGAGGGGGGAATCCAGCCCCTCCCCTGTCACGGCAGAGAGCCGTGACAGGAGCGAGAGGTGAGCGAACGCCGGTATGTGTTCGCTCACCTCCCGATCTACTGAGCCTCGTTGTCACAGGTCGGCTAGAACTATGAGGTGAGTGAAAAGCACTCACCTCATAGTTCTCCTTTTTAAGGGCTGATGGGCACATACACAAACAGTGTCTTTCCATAACCGCCTGATTTTTTGTTTTCTGATCTGAACATGGGTGTATTGTTCTCTATGGACCTTTTGAGCACAACTGCATTAAGATCAGTAAACTTGCATTCAGATCTGTAAAAAAAAAAAAAATGGAAAGATCTGTGTCCTCAGAGATGCTGTTTACAGTGCAGATTGGAGCCACCTGCATCCTTTCTTTGCTAATACTCGCATCTTTTTAACGCCTAGTTTCTTTGTTTCTTGGACGCAGGCAGCTCAAGCTTCCTACATTTTTGGCAACCGGCAGGTCAAATTTGTGCTGAACGCATGCCAGATTGAGCTGCCAAGCTTCCTTCGTTGCTAGGAGGCTCCTCACAGCCTAGTGTCCTATGCAGGTGACTCTAGTGTCCTAGCACTAGTAGAACACATTTGTGCTATAAGCTGTACGCAGGTAAATGTAAGAGCAAACCTTAAATGCATACAGTGTACAGACGACGTTTTAAGTAGGATCATGCTGCTATGTAAAATCATGTTGCTTGTGTCATGATCCCTAAATAGATTTGTTAACTAGGCACCAGAGGGAGCTGTCAGTGGCTCGGTTCAGTTACTTTACCTCTTACTGTTGAAGCCAGATATCTGTCTCACGGGTAGTGCATTGTTTGCAATCAGTTGGCTGACTGTGGACTTCTGGGAAGGAGCATTAAAGCACAACTTTTATTGTTTAGCTCTGCAAAGCTTGGGTATGTAATAGGCAAATATGGCTGCCCCATGTATCTATGTTACAGATGGATAGAAATAACCTTTTTTTAAAAGATAAACACATATTGATAACATTTGAATCAAACTGATCTTTTACATTTTTATTTAACAATCAGAACTGAAAAACTTTACATTCCCTTTAAAACTATAAATAAAAGGTAAGCCCATAATTTGAAAGTAAAAGTAGGTACCATAAGGTGCCAGGCCATACCCTCACTGCACTTTTTAGCACCTTTAAAGTGCATATGCAATTTCTGACTTTTGGAAAGTAAGCGCATGTACATGCCCAATTTCCCATGTGCCAGTGCTTGGTCCTATCTATAGGTGGCTCAGACAACAGACAGTGCACTGTTAGATGTGAGCACATATGGTCTATTACGCTGTTGCCTTCACTTTGCTGTCCTCACCTCCATTGTTTTTTTTGTAGATCATTGCCAGCCCCCAAGACTTATGGCACCATGAAAGATGACAGCTGGAAGGAAGGCTGCTACTGACCCCCAACATTTTAAAGCTTGACTGCTCAATGGAATCCACGTCCTCTGCACTGTGACCACAGAGCAGCCCATCCTGATGGGACAATTTGGGATTTTGCTGTTTTATCCTCTGTCCGTATCTAGCACAAACGGGAGAGATTACAAAAAGGAGCACTTTATTGACACTGACCATCGCAGGTTTTAGTCATCTATCACCCCTTCATGGTGTTACTCATAATTTATTTTTGCCGCCTGTAATCTTAACCCTTTATAATCCAAAAACACTGCATTATCACCTGGCTTCTTGGTAAACAACCAACTGCAAATTAAATAACTTTTGGTAGCAAGCAACTTTACTTTCTGCAGAATATCCGGTTAATGCCAAAGAACAACTCCTCCAACCTTTTTTTTAATACCTATATCTAAAATATATATAATATCTGAAAACATTATAATTCATATAAGCACTAATACTGCAAAGGTTTACAAGAGTATATCATTTGGTAGCCTGTGTTTTCTGAAGACTGCTTTTTCCAGTTTTTTACACTGAAATTTTGTTGCCTTTTATTCTATGTAAAAGCTGTTGAGCCTTTCCCGGCTGTCAGCTTCTCCCTGAACTTCTGGCAGTGAACGGCCGTCACATGTTCTGCACAGAAACACGGCTCATGCTTCAAACTTAATGAATAGCACAATTCATGGTAACAAACATTTAACTCTTAAGTTTCCATTCTTCCAAAAAAACAAAACCAAGGGGCTTAGTTATGCAGTCGTTTGTCCTGCAATTGAATCATTTGCATAACAATGTGGAAAAAATACATTGTGGTACAGCAGTACTTGCCAATAGCAAAAACAATTGTAAGCAGAACTCTAATCAAGCCTTTAAATCTAAGCTTGAAATATATATTATAATTGATGCATTTTACCCTTCAAAGGGTTTGCAATTCTTTTTAGCCAGTCTTGTGAGTTACACATCCCTGCCACGATGCTCTCTCCTCTGTTTCTTGGTTTAGTTTTACAGCTTACTGCATTATCTGTTAACTGACTGGACACTGAATCTGTATATTTCCAATGAGTGGACTGCAGGTAGGAAGGTGACATGAAATGGATCACAAAACTGGCTGGTAAGAATTATGAATACTTTGGCAAGTAAAACCATCCGTACATTGTTTAGCTGTTTTGGAGTATTTCTTCAAAGGTTGCTAGTATCGGTGCTGATACAGAGTATTTGGTCTCGTACTCGATACTTACCTCCGATACCGGAACCTCCGGTCAGAGGGAGGTCTCCCTCTGACGGGCAGTATCGAGGGAGCATGGAGCCAGCTTCCTTTCCAATCGGGAAGCCAGGCAGTAGGTCATGACCCGCCTCCCGGCTTCCTGATTGGCTAGGAAGCAGGCTTCACTTGTTGCTAGGCAGCCTGGCTTTCTAACCAAGAAGCTGGGTGGCACATAATGACCCGTCTTCTGGCTGCCTAGGAACAAGTGAAGCCGGCTTCCCAGCCAATCGGGAAGCCAGGAGACGGGTCATGATGTGCCGCCCAGCTTCCTGATTGGCTAGGAAGCAGACTTCCCTTGTTGCTAGGCAGCCTGGCTTCCTGACCAAATGGGAAGCCGGACGGCACCTCATGACCCGCCGCCTGGCTTCCTGATTAGTCAGGCAGCCTTGGCAAGTGATGCCAGTGTTCTTTCGATAGGCATTCAGGAAGCCTGGTGATGGGTCATGATCTGCCTCCCAACTTCCTGATAATCAGGGCACATGGCTCTGGGACCGGCACTCGGTATTGGCGTGTATCGGAAAAAAATACCGGTACTCATAATCGATACTGAAAAAACGGTATCGGTGCATCCCTAGTTGCTTCATACTTTTACAAGTTGGAAGTTAGTGTAAATTTAGCAAGATACCATTTTGTGTTTCAACTTGAGACACTTAATTGAACCTCCGTGACATGCCATTTTTTATCCAATGACGTAGAACCAGTTAATGGACATTCATGGTCTTAATGTACAAAAAAAATGTGCTTTCAGACCTGGGAATGCTGCTGGGCTGTGTCAGGGGCAGTGACTGGCTCTACTGTTTTACATACATTGTCGTTGCCCATAGTTCTCTTCAGTGTCATGAGAGGACATATACTGTGTTCTCCGGTGTCCCAAAACTCAGTATATAGTGGCTACTGCCCGCTATGCTCAGAGAGCAGAGCCAGGATGGATCCCAACAATACTGTCCAGATCCACCCTGCTGGCTGATTGACAGCTGGCTCTGCCCGCCTCTTCTCCCGTCCATTCCTCCTGTCAGCACTGGAGAAATTAAGAGGAGAGGGGGGGGGATCCCAGTGGGGAGTGGTGACTGACTTTCTGAACAAACTGACAGTCACGGCTCTCTTCAGGAAGTGCATCGGGAAGTCAGCGATCGGTGGTGTGTGTTCGCTGACTTCCCGATCGATAGAGCCGACCTGTGACGGCTTCTTTGTCACAGGGCGACTTGAATTATGAGGATGAGTGTTTTTCATTTACCCCATCATTCTCCTTTTTTTTTAGCCCTCGTTCACACCTGACCGTTTTGTAGCGCGTTCTATGCTCGACGAACGCTCTACAAAACGGGTCAAAAATATAAATTGCATTGTAGTCAATGGTTCCCACCTTGCCGTATTTCCGCAAGTCCCTAACGCCCTACAAAACGGCCCACGCCTGAAAAGGTCCAGGTACTACTTTGGGCCGTTTTGTAGGGCGTTTTCCATTGGGATACAGCCAAGTAGCCTTCGGAATCGCGCAACTTTTTTACCGCGAATCTCGATAAAAAAAAAACGCGCGACAGACGCGCATATGCAATACGCCTAGGTGTGAACGAGGGCTTAAAGAGCCACCAAAAGGGAAGCCAGGCCTAGAGCTAGCAGCAAAGAGGTTTTACACTATGATCATGAAATGGTGAGAGACTAGTCTGAGAACTATGCACTTGGTTCACACTTATTGTACTGGGAATACAATTTACAGATCAATATGTGAAAGGTTTAAAGATGTTTTAATCTATATTATACACAGAATTATGCAGGTTTCCCACTAATAGATATTGTGGACATACATATATTATTGTCAACCCATCAGGCTTTGCACGCATGGGCTTCAGCTTCTATAAGAGCTGTGTGTACAGAGAACTTTTGCAAAGATTTTGACAAGCTTTGAGCGGCTTTGTTGAAACCCTTAGGGCCTGTTCACACGATGTCCGTTTTCTGTGCTGACCTGATCCGTACGCTCCTGCACTAAAAATGCATCCCAATGTATCCTTATGTGTTTTATGGGCTACAGTTCTCACGTGCGCAGTCCGTTCAGCTTACGACAGAAAAATACTGCATGTCACATTTTGTGAACAGGCCCTTTAAAGAGCTCCTTAGTTTGGGAATGTTCCTAGATCTTAATCGGAATGCTGACTTTCACTTTAAACAAGTTGCTAGCAACTTTTAACAATGTTCACACAGTGTTAAAGATTACTTAAGTCTGCTAGCAGTTTTTAACCCCTTCCCTCTAGCTGTATGCATATATATGCAGCAGCACAGTGGTGGGCTTTAACGCCGTGTTGCCACGTAAATGCATACAGCCGACATCCCTGCTCTGTGCTGGGAGCAATCCCATGCCCCCAGTCACTGTTTACAATCGGGGAACCGTCCTACCGGCCTACAGCTGATTAGTGATCACATTATCGGGAAGCCTAAGTGTTAATATAATACAAAACGCAGAAGTTTCCCAGCACACTTACCGGCTAGCCTGCCCCATCTAAGAAAGCGCATTAAAAAACAGTGGTTTTAATTACGCAACTTTTGCAAAATATGTGGAAGCCGCACTGCCTTGCCCAGTCTCCTCTGTGTGGTCCTAACTCTAATTTTTCTGAGTCTCCATATTGGAGCATATTTAAGCAGTATATAAATCGATTGCAGGTTTGCCTGGAGGCAGCCTATGCCTCCCTAAAGGCACAGGGACGCACTGGAGGCCCAGCAAGTGCTAATATACCCTTAAAAGGCTTTAACAAAGCTTGCCAAAAGTTCTTCAAATGCTTTGCTAATGCTTGCTCTACAAACTGCTCTTGTACAAGCTGAAGTATGTGTGAACAAGGCCCTAGACCTTTCACTGTCAGACACCATGTGGAGTGAATCCTTCTGTGCCAAGTAGCCCGACAGCTTTTTGTAATATTACGATCTATGCCTGTGCTGGTTAAAAATATTGATAAGCTCCTGTGTGTTCATTGTAAACCATTATCTTATTTTTATTTTAGTTTTACAGTACATGTGTATTTAAGATGTAAATAGCATTTTTCCTCTTGGGCGCCTTTCAGTATTGCAGTTTTGTACCTTGCCTTACATATCCTGTATTTAACATGATATATGCCAGCATTTGTCATTACTGACCTGTTTACAGACTATTATGGAAAGTTACCACAACCCATACAATCATTCTTTTGTGCCCTATTATATGCATCTCTGCGCACTTTGCTGGGATTGGATCTGTCACCATATACTTTTTTCACATAAGGCCAATTTAAGTAACATTTTTACATGATGACATATCTTAAATTCCTGCTAAACAGTTTTCCGATTTTTGATTTGCATTTGATTGCAACATACATTGTCCACCTTTTTAAAGAAGACTTCTGGTAAAAGCCATAATGTCATTTTAGTTGGAAGGTAATGTTGCAGGCCGTGTGTGGCAGTTTTCTTACTTTTTTATAATTCTCATTTGAGTGATGTAGGGATGACTTGTGAAGATTTTATAGATGACCTCACAGCAATGGATCTCCTGACTAAGAATGTGTGACCTTCGGCTATAAAGGTGCCAGTCACCTGATCATGAGTTGACAATACTTCAGGCCCAGTCTAATACCTGAACATAGATCATGTTACTTGATATTACATGTGGATATCCCTCTGTACAACACTTCTGCTGCAGCTGGAGAATTGAAGCTGAGCATATGATGAGAAAAATTATAAGCAGAGAATCTTCAGTAAAAATCAGCATATCACTATGTTCAAACATTATAAGCAGATTAAGTTATTTGAAAATGTTTCTTTAAGAGTTTTTATATGGCACCACCTCCTTCTTGATCATTGAAGTCACTGATCACATTAATGGACTGTTAGGGAACATGGGACGGGCTAGTGCCTTGTCACGAGAGGGAACATGTACTAATGCATTTTTTTTTTCTTTTCATATGCTCAATCTCCATTGCCTAAGTTTGTGATCACTTTTATTCTACAGTGCTGTGGACAGTCTAACAAGCTGTACACTCCTGACAAACTTCAGGGGGATTT